CCGATAGTGACCCTGTACAGGGTTTCTGAGGCTGCCAATCTTTACAGGAGCAGAAAGCCTCATCTTTCTCCCATGAAACAGCTGGTAGTTTCCAACTGCTGACCTTGCAGTTCGCAGCCTGATTCGTAACCACTAAGCTACCAGAGTAAGGAAATCTACTATTTGGGCAAGAAACTGACCTCACTGCCAGAGGGGAGCAGTCCTCCAGCTCAGAGAAGCCTCTGCTTATAATTTGCATAATAAAAGCTCGTCACTAAGATTAGAGTTCTGGTACATGTGAAATTATTCCTTTGAAATTAATTAAAGAACACAGTTCAGGTGAGGAGAAATGACCCTTCTTGCCCTGTATATATCTAATTAGGCAGGTAAGTCATCCTTTTCAATAAACTGTTTTACTGAAACAGCACCAGGGAAGACTCAGAATTGTATTTAGACAGTTTTTGTTCAATTAAAATTTGGCTACAAAAATACCACTTGGGCAATGAACTACCACAGCTTAATCAGCTAACATTTAAGCAGTGCCAGACCACATGATCTTAAAATAAAGGTGTGTTCTTCAGCATGATTGAACCATTTCTTCCACCATATTCTACCAAAACAAATAACCCACTGCCATGGGTCAATGCAAACATTGTTCCTCTTAAGTGCCATGGAGTTGGTTCCAACTCACAGTGACCCTGTATAGGAGCAACTGATGGGTTTGAACCATCGACCTTGTGGTTCAAACCGACTTTGCAGTCCATTGTTTATCCTACAGTATCACACACACCAGGACTCGAACATCGGCACAGTGACCCTGTAAGGCACAAGAGAACTGCCCCTGAGGGTTTTCGAGACTATTCATCTTCATGGGAGCAGTCTCATCTTTCTTCCAATTCTGTTAGACAAATCCACAAATCACACAGCTCGAGTACCAACAGTGGCAAGGCTGAGGAACCTCGGCCTGTGATGCCCTGAGGCTGCCTGAAGCGCTCGGTTCGTTTCTCATCTCTGATCCTCCTGCGCTCTGGTTCAGGCCAACACTGAGGCTCTCCCACTCACTACCTTCCTCAGAGTCTCACGGACGTAACCACAAAGAAATTGTCAAGATTAACAATACTAGTGAACAGTTTGCCACAACACCTTAAAGCTGATACGGCCACAAGGCCGGGCAATTCAGTGGGTGTCTTTTTAAACCCGTGGCTGAGAAGACCCCTCAAAGTCAGTGTGTGTGTGTCAGAGTCGAGCTGTGCTCCACTCTCAATGGCTACATTTAAAAAGACAGATTGCCAGGTCTTTCTTCTGAGGAGCTTCTAAATGGACTCAGAAACCTCTCATCTTTCAGTTAGCAGTTGAGAGCAGGAACTGTTTTCAACACCCAGAGACTCAAAGTCCCCTTTTACCACTGCCTTTAATGTACCTCAGGAGGACACTGAGAGAGATCTTACCGTACCGGAACAAGGTCGGCGGTTAGAGACCACCATGTGGCCCCACAGGTGAAAGATGAGGCTTTCTCCTCCCACGAAGATTTAAAAAGCCATGGAAACCCTTTACAGGGTTGCTGAGTCTGGACCAACTCTACGACACTTCACAACAGCCTCCAGCCCAAATGTTCAAACGAAAGACCCGTCTCTCCACTCTCTTTTCAGGTCACAGGACTTGGAACTGCCACCTTTTCTGAATGAAAATATAAGGAGTATCTCAGCTCCCTCTAGGTGCAAACTGCTCAACAAGAAGCCCCCTACAGCACTAATGGAAACAGCAGCATTTTCACTAAGCCCTCAGCCTGGTCTTTGCCAGTCAAGGTATTTGAGGCATTTACGATGGCTGCCACACATATCCAAAGATGTTCAGAAACTCCAGACAAGGAACTGACTCAATGGTATTTAACAACATTGTTGTTGTTGTTGTTAAGTGCCGTCGAGTCGGTTCCGACCCATAGCGACCCTGTACAGGGTTTCCGAGGGTGTAAATCCTTACGGGAGTAGAAAGCCTCATCTTTCTCCCGCGGAGCGGCTGGTAGTTTCGAACCGCTGACCTTAAGGTTCGCAGCCCAATTCGTAACCACTACGCTACCAGAGCTCCTTATTTAACAACATAGGCAGAGCCATAATTGTGAAAGCAGGACCCTGTAAGAGGCAGACCCTTGGCAGGGAAGGAAAACTTCAGGTCTTTTCCACTAAAAGTAGTAACAGAAAGTGGTCAGACTGCACCCCACCCCATCAAAGGGGGGAAACTTTCAAGACGCGGAAAACTAAGGCTACCCCGTCAAGTTACAGTGCCCACAGGTATCACTAGATTCCAAGAAGAAGGGGCTTTGAAGAGAACCTCCTGACCAAGGGACCCCGAGGCTTCCAGGCTCTGCACACACCAGGTCAGGATGCCTCTTGTCCATCTAGACCACTGACTCCTGATGGGTAGGGAGGCCTAGGCAGTGTGACAGAGAGACCTACTGGGCCAGCTCATGTGGATTTACTCGCCACAGTCTTCCTAACTCTCACCAAATGACTGGGTGGGACCATGCAAACAGGGTGTTTGTTGTTGTTGTTAAGTGCTGTTGAGTCGATTCCAACCCAAAGCAACCCTATATAGGGTTTCCAAGGAGTGACTGGTGAGCTTGAACTGCCGACCTAGAGACTCAAATGGCTTTGCAGTCTGGCGTATTAACCCACAGTGCCACACCAGGACTCCTGCAAGACTGTAACTCGGAAATAGGTTGGTTTTGCCATCCTGCTGTGTTTAAAAGGAGCCATCTCAGAAACAGGATGAGCCCAGGACCATGAAGAAAGAAGAGCCATGAGTAAAACAGTCCTGTGTGTGGACCCGGAGATCCCTGCGCAGAGAAACAGAGAAACAGGGGCGCAGAAGAGGCAACAGAGCAGCGCCGGTTTCCCGGTTCTCCTACTGGGTAAAGCTGAGTACTGCCAGGCAAGAGGCTGGCTTGCAGGCTGTGTCCTTGGGCATTTAGCCACAGAGCTGGAGGAGCTTTGAAATGCTTTCCTGAGCAGGGCAGAGGCCAAGAGGCTGTGACTGAGAGGCTGACGGAAATAACAGGGCAGAGCAGTACACCTGAGATGTGGAGGCTGTATCCTGAGTTGTTTCTGATCCCGACTTGTAACCTGTACACCTTCCTAACAAACCCCATAAATAGGAGTACCGCCTGAGAGTTCGGTGTGGCCACTGCACAGCAGAGTGCTGGCAGAGGGAGGGTTGGTGTCAGCACAGGGTAAGGAAGGTGGAAGGGTAGAAACAAGTCTGACCTCCATCCACATCTCCGCTGTCGTGTGCATCACACCCAAAGCAGAAAACCCAAACCCACAGCTGTCCAAGTCAGCTCTGACTCTCAGCAACCCTGCAGGAGCGAACAGAGGTGCCCCATCGGGTTTCCAAGGCTGTAACCTTTACCGTAGCAGGCTGCTACATCTTTCTCCCCAGAAGCTGGTTGGTTGAAATCGCTGACCCCCAACTCTTAGCCCCTGAGCCCGCCAGGGCTCCTTCTGCATCAAACATCGATAGGCATAAAGTAAGAGTGTTTGCAATAAACACTCTGCATGAATGGACAGTCATCAGGTGGTATAGCCAGACAATGGAATACTATCCCAGCATAAAAAAGAATTAAGTATTGACCCTGGCTACAGGAGGTGTGAACCCTGAAAACATCATGCAGTGATGAACCACACAGTATATAATTCCATCAACATGTAACTTTCAAGGAGCTCTGGTAGTGTTGTTGTTTTGTTGTTGTTAAGTGCCATAGAGTCAGTTCTGACCCCCAGCAACCCTGGATAAGAGTTTCCAAGGAGCAGCTGGTGAGCTTGAACCGCCAACCTTAAAGTTCAAAAGGCTTAGCAGTCTGGTGCATTAACCCACAGCACCACACCAGGACTCCCTTTGGTAGTGTAGTGGATACAAATTGGGCTGAGAACCTCAAAGTCAGCAGATGGAAACTACCAGCTGCTTTCCGTAGGAGAAAGAAGAGGCTTTCTGCTCCAGTAAAGATTTACAGCCTCGGAAACCCTGTACAGGGTGGCTATGAGTCGGAACGGAGTCCAGGCCACATCACCACCACATGCAACGTTCAGAAAAGGCCAGTGGAGAGAGGCAGTGATTGCCTGGGGCCAGGACTGGAGTCCTTGTGTGGGTATGAGTTGGCACTGTACCAACAGGGCTGGGGACAGGTTGTAACTGCAAATGGGCACCAGGGATTTTTCAAGGATGGGGTAATGTTCTCAACAAGTCTCTCAATCTAGTAGAAATCATTGACTAATCCACCACCCACTGCAGTCCAGTCGTAGGGATCCATGCAACGCATCGTGCCCCTCCAGACAGAGAACTGCTCCATAGGGTTTCCCACACTGTCTTCTTTACGGAAGCAGATGGCTTCATCTTTCTCCCTAGAGGTAGCTCTTGGGTTCCAATCACTGACAGAGGTAGCAGTCCAACGTTTAAGTGAATTTCATAGTATGTCAATAACACCACAGGAATGCTCAGAGAACATAAAAAATTAATAGTAATAGTGAAATCAATAATAATAATAAAGGATTCTGCAGGTTATCTTTAAATGGGGGTTGTTGTTGAGTCGGATGCCACCCTGCACAGGGTTTCCGAGGAGCAGCTGGTGAGCTTAAACTACCAACCTTGCAGTTCAAACAGCTTTGCAATCGGCTACATTAACCCACAGCGCCCCGCCCCCCCCCAACAGGGGCTAATTCCTACTCTCCTCCAAGCTCCTCAGTTTGCTACACATGCAAACGTAGACCCAGAAGGGAAGACCAAAGGAAAGACCCCACGTCCAGAACTCAACTCAGTCCAGTCGGGAAGCGTCGTTCAGAGTTTAAAGCAAATGCAAATATTGAACTACTAGGGTCGAGGAAGCCAAGCTTCTCAGGAGCCTCAACCCAGATCTGGGGGTGCTAAGAAAAGTCAGGGTGGTGATTTCTACCTGTAGCCCCAGCATGACAAGGCAAAGCAAGTCTGGGGGACCCTGCAGGGTCCGAGGCTGGAAAGGCAGCCCACACCCACTAACCGTCGGGGGAGGATAAACACCGGGATCTGCAGGTGATGGCCGCATTGACTGACCAGGCAGGGTCGGAGACCAACCCGTCCAGGTGCACAGCGAGAAGGCGGCGAGTTTGGCGGCTGGGGCCAGCGATGGGTATCGCTTCCACGTTTGTATCGTCTACAGGAGAGGGGCGCCCCTCCGGGGTCGGGGCACCGGGAGGGAAGGGGTCGTCCCGTAGCAGACGGGAATGATCGTGAAGGAATGTTGATTCTGACACATGACCCCGATGTCCCCCGCGCTCGGCTGCCTGCTGCACCCCGAAGTCCTCGCGACACCGCAGTCCCGGCCCCGCGTTCTCACCTCGCAGCCTCTGGGTGCGGCCCACACACCGGAGCGCTCCGGCGGCCGTCAGCGGCCTCCAGAAGAGGGCTGACGGCGGTCCGCGCGTCGAAGCTGGCGGAAGTATTTGCGGCGGCCTCAAGCTTCGGTCTGGCGGGCCCGGGATAACCGAGCCTCAGCGGCCAGCACGCCTCTGGTCTCCATTCGGGGCTGTTTACTGCCAACTCTCGCGAGATCCTGCGACCCGTGCGGCGAGACCTGCAGCTGAGAGCTCGGGCCCTCGCCAGCCCTGCGTGCTCAGCGTGCCCCGCGCTAGAGGCCGGCTTGCGTGCGTGCGCGCTCTGACGCCGAGCCGAGGGGCGAAGGCCTCGCGATATTTGAGACACGGGGCGTGACTGTGGGCGGGGCCGTAGCCAACCTATTTTTTTATGTGGCCTGGAGTCGGTTCTGACTTATAGCGACCCTGTACGGGGTTTCCAAGGCTTTACGGGAGCAGAAACCCTCATCCTTCTCCCTCGGAACCGCTGGTAGTTTCAAACTGCTGAGCTTGCGGCACACAGCCCGATTCGTAACCACTACGCTACCAGAGCTCCTTGGCCAATTTCATGTTGTTGTTGTCAGGTGCCATCGAGTCGGAACCGACTCATACACAGCAGAACGAAACAATGTCCGATCCTGGGCCAACCTCACTACCGCCGCCACACTTGAGTCCATCAATGATGTCACCTGGCCAATCCATCTTGTTAGGGGTCTTCCTCTTTTTCTCTGACCCTCC